GAAAATGCTTTGTGTTTTAAATTGATTTAATGTTGATGTTGACAATTTGTATATTATACACTTTCCATTAATTTGCGCTATTTGCTTCATTATTTTAAATTTATGCCCTCTTCATGCCTCATATTCTTAAAAATTGTAATAAACTGCTACTGTCTCGACAAATATTGCATAATGCGCAGAAAGTGTAGCATGCTTTGAGGCGTTTACTTTTTGCGCTTGTTTAGCGCAGTTTGTTTAGCATTGATTTATGCACGGAGTGTTTTTAAATGTGGGCGAGAGCTATTTATGTGGCAGCTGGCCCTGTTTTTGCCTGCACTTGATTTGTGGCCTACCCATGAAAAGGTCAAGAAGTAGTTTGATATATTTCACTCGGCAAAACTGACAGCAGAAAATTACTTGCAACATTGTCAATTCATTCTGCCCGAACTTTTCCGAAATTAAATGGAATTGATGTTCATTTGTACCTATGCCAGCTCAATGTCTTGTTGCCTCATGTTTGAATTCATTTGTCTGCCTATTTCGGCATCAGCACAGACGACGACAGCTGAGCTATAGTAACAAGCCTCTGTCCCCATCCAAATCATGTCAATTAGCATCCATGCAAATGTGTGACACAAACCTCGGCAACCAGGCCACATGCCGAGTCTGCATAGCTAATTCTAACTAAGTGTTGCTCTAGAGCAACAATTGGGCTAACCCAAAGCTATCTAAGCATAGCTTAAATACCAATTTCCTCAAACCATTAACTCGTTGTGCTCCAGCAGACCGTAAGCTAATCAGCCAATAGACGACTTCCACATCAACAGCAATTCCTGCAAGTGGCAAACACATTTAAAGTCAGCTGAGAATTTGGTTTGCGTGTTGTTTAGTTTATGTTCCTTTGTAAAACGGATGTGTCCCCACATTGCAGACACATGTCACTTTTAACGAGCGACCCCCGCAGTTCTATTTAATAACATTTTATAGTCTACCAACGAAATAATTCGGTTGCGGTTGTTTCGCCATTTTGTGGACAAGTAAGAACAAAATATTCGCAGTAGAAAAATGCGGTTGAAAATTGTGGTCAATTATCCGATTTTGGTTATTGGTTGAATGATAAACTTACTGTTAAATGCCACATTAGTGTATGAATCCCATCAATGTATGAACTTAATAACTTAATTTATCAAAATATGCAAAAATTTACATATATTTTTATAGCTTAAACATTTTCAGTTAAAATTATTTTATTTTTTAATGTGTGTGCAGTATCAATCATTTAAACATTTCAATTAAATACAAATTTAATATGAATCTTTTTTATTTAGCTATCAAGTTGTTTCATTTTAAAACCACAAGGTTGACAACAAAATATATTATCAATTGCTAATGATTGGCACTAATTAATTTGACCATTTTGTATTGGACTTGTCTTCCCGATTATATCTCTCAAAATAAGAATGCATTTGTGTCATTTTCAATTTGCAGTTTTCATTTCGCTGATTGGTAGTAGTATTTGTTAAAATATTTTATTTGTTGTTGTTTGCTTTTAATGGTATTTTCAATAGTTTTGGTGTATAGTTCAATTTGCTCGACACTTTGTTACAGCTGAATAAAGATCGAAAGTTTTGGCAGAGGCAAAAACCAGGGTTAATTAACAAACTTTTAATACAGATATTGATTATTGAAATTGTTGACAATTTCCTAATTAATTTCACTGGTATGGTGCAAAAGTTTTGTGTTGCATTGCTTTTTATTAGTTGGCGAGAAATGCCTCAGCAAACCCAACGAATAAAACATATCCTGCATGGAAAGCAAAAAGGAGGATGTTGAATTAGGATATATAAATTTAACATATTCTTAATAGACAACTAAATATTTTCTAATTTAACTTTATTATTTTTAAATTAACTATTAACATATCTTAAAGAAAATTGATGATTTATTTTAAACAACATAATGACTTGCTTAAATAAATTAAATAAATAAAAATTAAAAGTGAGAGTCTGTGGCATAACGTGTTTTACTCAATTCCCTTGTTTCATGTGATATCATTTCAATAATTTTCAAAGATAAATTTTATGACAATAACTGACGTAATTTACACCAGATATATATATGGGGTTATAGAATAAGGGCAAACTTCAGTCAGTCTTCGCGCACGTTTGCATCTATTGCGAATGAGAAAGAAAACGCGTAAATTTGTTTAATAAATTTCAGTTGAGTGCGGGGCTGTGTTGTCGACAGAGGGCAGCTGCGACACTAAAGCCCGAATGGATTACAAAGGACACGTTTCAGCCGGATATTAGGCAGATGGCGTTTACAGCATTTTGGGACAAACAAATTGCTGAAGAAGGACAACCAGCCAGACAATAACACGCTCAACAGTTTACATCTTTAAAGCAATCTTAAAGCCTCTGCAGGCTGCGCAAATCCGACTAATTATTATGAGATGTTGTGACTAGGAATACAACGGCCAAATATGTACACAAGACACAGAAACATAAAGAGACATCAGGCTGACTGGATTCGATAGTCAAGTGGTCGGGTGGACTGGGTGGTTGGTTGCTTAGTTATTCGTTTGGTGGTTGCTAGTTCACGGGTCCTTGGTCAAGGCTGAGCGTCTTTATTGTGCGGCTGCAATTGTGCTCGCACAATTTGAGTTATTTTTGGCCCTACACTTGTTGTTAGCCAAGCTGCAGCTAATCTTTAGATGTCTGCTTTGCGCTTTTTCCCTTTTGTTTCGCCTTCTCCTCTATCTGCATCAGTTTGTTGTGTGTGTATTTGTGTTTTCAAGTACATGGAGGCCATAAAACAAACACTTTTAGTTTGTTGAACTGTGACCGGAGCCTGCGTTTAATTTGTTGTCAAAAATATAAGGCGGGACCTCTAAAAAAAAAAAGAACAACAAACACAAAAGTTGATGCCAGCTGCAAAGCTGTTTTTTTTTGTTGGTTTGCTTTTTAAATTTTTACTCTTCTAGTGATTTAAAGATGTCAAAATGATTTCCAACTGGATTAGTTGACAGAAGCAATTTTTGTGGTGCACTCCGTAGTAAAAATTTATTTTCAATTTAATTTGTAACGAAACAAACTGAAAAATATACTGTGGTTTTGCTGTGTACTCGACGACGACTTGATTGCATTTTAATTGAAATTTTCTTACTTTTATGAAAGTGTGCTACGAAAGTTGTGATAAACGAGAGTATTCATCAATTTCAGATTTAACCAAATATACAAATAGTACAGGAAAGCACAGTTGGGGTAAACATCATTTAAGTTCTTCGCCATTGTCTTCAGGCTATGAACTATAGAAGAAAATTGATGAATCTATTCAGATTATAGTACAGTAGATGTTATTTTATTTGTTTTCTTTGTCGTATTTTATATACTTTGACAACGTCTTTAAAGAACCCATTAAAATATGTTAGTTTAGCAATTCAGTGCACAGTTAAGAGCAAATTGTGTGGTATTCAGGTGAATCAAATTAAAGTGGTCAAGTGATTGTGGTTGCTGTCTGTTCGTCAAGTGCAAACAAGAGCCAACAAATAAAACTAAAAAAAAAAGGACGACTAACTAACTGTGGGTTCAAAATCTAAATATGAACTTCTCAACTAACGAGATACAAAACTCTCATAATTTTATACGGCTTGTACGTGCTGCCAGACGACAATGGTATGCAATGTTATGTGTGTGTAGATCTTTTCTGCTTTATACTTTATACATAATAAACTGAAAATGTCTGTGCATAATGCTCGAAATAGATGACTCAAGTATACAATACAAACTGAGAGAGAGAGAGAGAGAGAGCTGGAGGTATTCAACTGGCTGCCTTTCAACCACAAAGTAAATTTGATTGATAATCTCTTTCACTTGAGGCTGAAAAGAGTTTTCGAGAAAGGCATGTGGCTTTCAAATCCAGCTCCTGCAGGAGAATGTCGAAAGTTGAACGGAAATTAAATGTAGTAGTCATGTCGTTTCCCTGGTGAAGGCAAAAGTACAGTTTGCTCAGCTCGGAAAATGCAAAGTCAAGTTTTATGCGAAGTTAATGAACTGTTAAATGGAATTTTTGGCTTAGGCTTAAAATTCAAAATGTGCTTTTTACGTCTTGCTATAAATATGAATTCTTTTTTTTTTATGTCGATTTAGATGTATGCTTTAGATTCGGCGCTTGTGGCTAGCGATATTTAAATCACATGCTTCGAAGTTTAAAAAATCATTGAAAATGGGATCTAACCACACCAATAAAATTGTTGTACAAGCACTTTTTCAAATATTAAGATATTTGCCATTTATTTTGGTATACACATATTTTAAAGAATTTTTTAAATAACCAATTTAAAAACTTTACTTACACTTTTTAAGAGGAATAGTTTTCAATAATTTCAAGCTGCAAAATGAACTGAACGCCTTGTTCGTTAACAAAAGAAATCCCGCCTGTTAAAAAAAAATTCACTTTGATAAAAGTGGATGGCAAAGTTAATAGAGTGGCAGAAAAAATCTCTGCTGAGCTGCAAGGAAAAATATTAATGTGCTGCAACTTTCACAGGGATATCAAGTTGACTGGCAAGCCGAAAGAAAGCAAGTCAATCATTTTAGTTTTATTCGGTGCAAGTAAGTAAGTAAGAGCTTTATTTGTTTTCAGAGTACACATACTTGTTGCCCCCCAAACAATTGTGTGCTGCACTCAAGTTGATAGACAAGTGGCAGGGACGAGGACAGTTGGTCAACATGTGGCCAATATTAGCATTACTTTATGCTAGGCATAAATCGTCTGGATTGCTGTTGGCCATAAATTTCCGTGCAAATGGCCAAAGACTCAAAGTCTGCCGACCCCCTTAGACATCATTTAAAATATGCTTCAAATAGTAAGGTAGTAAGTTGAAGAAAGTTTGTCGGCTATTGGCTGACTAGAAATCGAAACTGCGTTAACGTTAACAATGTTGCTACCTAACTATTTGTAAACATTAATTCAGCTAAACAACTAACAATTTAAAGCTAACGGTTAAGTCTGATGCCGTTTATCACAGCGATTTGGGCGTGGCATAGCCCACTCTGCCCTCGCTCCTCTCATTGTTATTGGCCACGTTCTGCTTTTGCCGCTTCTTGCGCCACTGAAATTTGCGTACCTCGCCACCCGTCGTCGTTGTTGCGGTTATCTCTGTGGCACTGTGGCAAGTCTCCTGCTCGGGCAGACTGCTGCTGCCACTGTACGTCGCCTCATCCCGCCGACTGATAACGCGCGACAGTTTCAATCGCGTTGGGGGTTGTACCTCCTCCGGCTGAGAGTTGGCCAAAAGCAGCGGTCCATTGTTGGTGGCAAGCAGAGCGCATTTCCCACGGCGACCCACTTCGACCAGTTCCGTGTCGAGCAGCGAATGCGAGTTTGAGGAGAGACGCGTCTGCAACAAACGATGTGGCACAATGCTCTTAGGCACCACACCAGCTGCATACAAGTCCGACTTGCGAACACGCCGAACACTAGCACCACCACCACTACCACCACCACCAGCACCAGCAGCACTGCTATTGATAGTCGTTGCAAGACTAGTGCTGTTTGTGGTTGTGGTTGTGTTATTGGTCCTGATGCTGTCCTGCAGCGACAACTGATGGCTGGCTTCGCGGCAACGGAACTGCACCACACGATAAGAGCCATACGGTTCCATGGCATTATTGTTGTTGCTGCAGCTAACGGGTTGCAGCCGCATCGACCCCTGGAGTCGCATCAGTGCACTGTAGTTGTGGTGATGGTACTGACTCTGCTGCTGATGATTCCGCGCCAGGCCAAATTGACGTGTCAATGTGATCTGCAAGGAAATACAATTAATACAAAATACAATTTGCTCAGCAAGGGGTTGGTGGCAAATTACCTTAAATGCCTCTCGGAACTTGTGGCTCATGATGTTATAGAGTAACGGATTAATGCAGGTGGACAGAAAGTAGAGCACACCGGATGTATAGTCGAGAATGTGAAAATAATCGTTGAAGGCATCCTGGCAACGACACACATTAATCAACGACACTCCATAGACGGCCATAAGGCGTTGGGCGTGAAATGGCGCCCAGCACAGGAAGAAGGCAACGGCTACAGCTACTGCAAAGAGGGACCATATAAAGAATTAGGTATCGGCGAGTGGGTGCCATCTGATTAATTTGTCTGGTTGGTTTGGCAGCCCACATGGCACATGGTATGCGCATCATTTGGCAAAGTGTTCAAAGAGCACTTTACAGAGTTTGCTTGTGGGCTTGTGGCTTAGTGTGTGTTGACAGTAATTTCAAATTGAACGCCCCTTTAATGTAGATATTCATAAAAAACAGAAAAGAAAAGTTTGACGGCGTTGCTTAGCGCTTTGCTGCCTGCTGATTTTTCCTCACCTACCCAACATTCTGATGACACGACTCTGCGCATTTAGGCCACGATTCGCATCATAGGCTCGCCGTGGCAGCGATTGCATCAGTCTGCTCCGCTTCAGTTTCATTCCAATCAAGACGTAGAGCACACAAATTGCCGTCATGGGGCCGCAAAAGAATATAAAGCCTGAGACGGCAAATACATGGGCATAAAAATTGTTCTCCATCTATTAAAAATGTGAATATTTTACTCTTAGCTGCTCTTAATGCCAATCATAACATCAACGTTACACACCGTGCAGGAGTAGCCACCATTATCCTGGTTAACCACCGAGAACTGCATTGCCTGCGGCAGTGCCAACAAAAACGCCGTCAGCCAAATGGCAAAAATGAATTTGATGGCTCTCGATAACTTGGACATCGTATGTTGCCTGTAAATGAAGTTACCCATTAAAATGAGATTGCACACCTCTCAGAATGCATTTCGATATATATAACATAACATCAACTTAATTTTTAATGCAAGACTTAAAACGCACATAGCTACCATAAAATTACTTATTCTTTTTATCTGTAAATATATGTTATATTTATGTAGAGGTTATTAATATATAAGTAAACTGTTAAAGCATTAAAATAACTGGAATTGAACACTAAAAGACTTACATGCAATAACTATACGACAGGCTAATTCGATTAGTTTAGATAGTTCAGCTCTATAGCTTCTGAATGGAATCAGATCATGCTTTCATAATTGTTCTAGTTAAAATAAAATATACTTTCTACACTCAGAAAAATAATTATGCTGACAATACATATAAACAAACCAAATTTAAAATATTGTTACTTCATTTTGCACTAACTAGATTTGAGATTAAGCTATATGCTTTGATAACTATAACTATAACTATATTGCTTGACTATATTGATTTGTTCACTTTTACTTTAAGTCCAATTGTATTAAATACTTTTGTGACTAGTGTAATATTTTCTAATAATAAAACATGTTTTTGGTAATTCTTTTTTCCGACTGTATCTTTTAAATACATTTATTTAATCAACATAAAACCGTTCATCGTTCTTTTAAATTCAATGAACTGGAACTTTATGAATGAAATCCAAACTGAAATAACGAAAGAGCTACAGAATACCAAAATACCATGAATGAAAGAAAGGGATTTCGCTGTCTATTTGTTTTCATTGAATAAAAAGAAAATTGCTGAATTCAACAAAATCAACAAAAAGTTGATAAGTATTTAATATGCATATTTATTGCCAGAGTGTTTGCGTATTATTATCTTAACAGTGCTGTAAGTCCTTGATCCAATGTTGATTTACTCATTAACTTTATGGTATTGATATGCATTAATTACATGTATTATTTCTGGCAGAGGTGTGATAAATATACATGCTCAAATAAATAATGGCTTAATGCTGAAGGAATACTATCGAAAAATACCATACAATTTGGATTTAATTAAGAAAGCATATATTACACTTATTGAGTAGATTTATATTACCCTTAATGCAGGCACTCACTTACCGAAACGGATGGCAGATGGCAATATAACGCTCCACGGTGAATGCCGTTATTGTTAGGACCGTGGCATTGGCAGCCATTTCGGAGAGGACACTCTCCACTATGCAAATGCCGTCCGTAAATGGATACGAATTAGGACACCACAAATTGTATAGTTCCTGCGGTATGCCTAATGACGAAACCGGATGTGATAGTGGCGTACCATATATTAAGCATACGCCCTATAGTCCGAGTGGGATTTAATTCAGCTTACCTGAGACTAGCAATATCAAATCAGAGACAGCCAAATTGAACAGATAGAAATTGGTTGCCGTGTGCATAAAGTTGTTCCGTGATATGACAATGCAGGTGATTAGATTCCCAAGTACGCCAGCGACAAAGATTAGCGCATAGCAGATAGTTAGGACTATGAGCAGCGTGGTGGATTCATCGTAGATGCCATACGTGGTTGTCGTCGTTGTGTTTGTTGTATTCCCGTTTGTGATGTTTGCGCTAAGCAGGCTTGTTAAATTCTCGGTCGTGATGTTCAGCATTTGAGCGACATGTGTTAGAAGTTTGTCATTGTGCAGCAACAACAGCTGCGGGCTGGGACTCTGAATGGGGCTTGGACTGTGGCTGAGACCGTGGCCGAGACCGACACCAACTCCCAGACTACCAAGGCTAGGCCTGGCATTTGGCAACGTATGAGCCATGAATGATTGATTGAGGACATCGTCAACACTGTCGGTGGCAAAATCAACGCCTTGCATCATTCTCTTGCCAGTTGTCAATTAATTGTGGGTGTGGCTTATAGCCTCCAGTTGAGTATGGGGCCTTTTATCACTGTTATTAATATAGTCTAAGAACGGGCTGCTGTTTGAGTGTTGAGTGTCCCGACTTGTGGTTATGGTTGAGGTTCTCGTTCTGCTTGTGCACATGGCTGATAAGAGCGACCCAGACGACAAACAGTCGCAAAATTGCGCATTCGCCTGTAAAGCAAACAACATTAAAAATCATTAGTCTCAAGAATGAATTTAAATTGTATCCGAGTTGCCTGGCATAATAATATGCGACTACATTCCCTCATCTACTGGAAAGCCCGGCTGCTACAGGTGGCAACCAGAAATCATAGCCAACTTTTGTAATCTCAACTGCGCAATTTAATTGCCTGTCCCTCACATCATATAGCAAATTCCCGATTCAAGAAAAACAAAAAAAAAAAAAAAGCAAAATGATCCATGGAAACCTCCTACATATGTTTGCTATAAATAGACAACACAGAGTTCTTAATAAACCTAGATACAAGTTTATCTGGTTTCCGATTATTGTTGGCCTTGATTGTGGGCCAAAAAAACTTTTTTTTATTTGTGCGGCATTTTGTTTTTGCATAGTACTGATAAAATTGTGTGCCGCAGGACAAAACTTTCGCAAGTGGCGAAAATATTTAAGGGCCGTTCTTTCGATCTAAGCCATGGCTCAAATGGCGAAACATTTGGAATATTATATTTAAAGACATCTGTAATAAACGATATTTTGAGCTCATAATTCACTCATTATTTCTCTGGCACGTATGCCAATAGCCTGTAACGAACTTGCCAAGGTCTCGACACATTTTGACTCCTGGTCACATTTCACACATGAAGCATACTGTCGTTGCCAGAACTCAGCCTCTCGTAATTAATCATATTTTCAGCTCATGTAGTTATGGTTACCTTGAATTTTCAAAATCATTTTCTTCACATTGTTGTCTGTGAAATTTTAGTTAAGGCTTAAATTTATTATGCCGTTTAGGGTAAGCATACATGAATTTATGCAAACGACCTACGGACAACTTGTTCCTGAATCAAATTTCTTTCTTTTGTGCTCATAAATACAAAAGATTGATGGGCAACTAAGTAAGAAGGGTTCAAATTCATAAATGGCATAATTCTAGACTTGTTCAAGAGCAGACTTCTGACGATAACTAGCCCAAATGGTGCTCAATTAATATTGCAATTATGTTCATGGGTATAAATAAAGTATAATAAAACTTCTTTACCTAAACACATTTTGATATATTTACAATTGGCATAGTTAACACCGGATTACAACCCAGCAGAATTGAACCATTTTCTAAATTAGCTGGACATAAATCAATGTTAACCTAATTCGCTGCTTAAGGTGATTTATGTTGAACTTATCCAGAAAATGTCAATTTTCGTATTTTGAATTAATGAATTTTGTGGCAATCATGAGGGACGACACAATTTCCGGCATATTGCGTCGTGATAATAATTGATGACATAATTGAGTTGCCATTTCATGTGTGAAAGTTAATTAAGACTCAGATTTCGATTCCGATTCAAATAAGTGTGAATTTCGGTTATCTATCTAGTCCGTCAGTTGGCTACACAATTTCACTTTAATACCATGATCCATACTATCGAAAAAATTGTCAAAAATAGTAGCCATTTTTACTTTAAGCGGGAGTCAAGTAAACAATTCGCTTAAGTGGCAAATGCCATCTAAGCGGCTGACTTTCTATTTGATTTGCCATCACTTTCTATGGTTGCACAAACCTGCGGGTAATGGTAAAAGTTAGCGGTTGCCTTTTTTATCAGCCTGACAATTGCTTTGTTCTTTCCTTTTTTTTTGTCCCGGCTGATTATAACAATGGGTACACAAAGACGTTGCCGCGATAATATCTGAGTGAATTATGACTTTAAGTAACCGAGATGTTTTTTAAGGGAATTAGCTAAAAACCTTTGCACATTTTTGGTTACGCACAATGTTGCTCATTCTTAGGGGTTTTTTATTGCAACCAAATAATTAAGCATAATTTTTTCAATTTTGGTCGTCTCGTTTCAATATTTCGAAATTGCTTATTTTGTAACTGTTTTGATGCCCGGACACGTCCGTTAAGTAGCGCAGTCAATTGTAGACTGAGTTTCCGTATGTCCGACGAGGCAGCACTAGATGCTTGCCTGTTAACTGTTAACAGCTGTTAGCAGCTAACAGTATTTCTTTATCCTGTTAATGCACAGTTTTGCTCATTTTGTTTCTTGCTCACGCTCGCGCTCTCACACATTCTCTATCTCTCTCTCTCTCTTTCTGTCTTAGGGTGTACTTAATGCCCTTAGCATTTTGGCATAATTTCATTCATAAATACAAGCACATTACCTTGACTTTGACTCATAGAGAGGCACACACACAGACACAGACACGCAGACACATCCACATCCTATATTCTGTGTCACATAACGTATGAGTAATATGGTGCTACTGCCATAAATGGAAAGCAATCGTATGAAATTGAATTGAATTAAAACTGAACTGAACATTTTTTGAGTCAAATTGAAATATCAAATGGGCGCGCAACCAGTAACACTTACTTTTAATATCTATTGGTCACGGCGCCGCCCATTAAGGCGTTCAACTGGTTTTCTATATCCCTAACTCTATCTCTCACGCAGTTAACCCTCTCTCACTCGCAAGACAATCGCAGGCGAAACAATCAAAACACACGCGAAATCAAAGCACCAGTTGGCTCCTTGGTCAGACAGCCATTGAATACCCACAAAATACTAAAACAAATGTTTTCTTTTTGTCTTCGTTTTGCCAGCAGAACTTTGTGGTGTCCGTTGCCGTCAATGTACAAAGAGCGCATATTAATCTTTTGGCTTGAGCAGCGTTAGATTTGTCGCATTTGTTTTTGCCAGTCCGTGACTGGTGATTTTAGTTGAAGTAGTGGATGTGGTGCTTGTGGCTTAATAGCGTGGTTTTTTTTTTGTGCTGTTTCTCTTATTGCTTATGGTTATGGTTATGCCTTTGGACCAGTGCCGCTAGCACTTTGTCAGCAGCTCAAAATTACGACCAAAAATGGCTGGAGAAAAAAAAGAACGAAATTGAAAATTAAGTGCTTTTCTGTCTGGCAACTAGTGAAAAAAAGTTGTAATAATTGATAGTCACCTCAGATGATCAGACTTTCTATAATATGGACATGCTATTTTTCATTTAATTGACATAAATTTCAACAAGGTTTGTATAAACTTCAAACAAGTTTATCCAAAGCCTGAACATAAAATGTATTTGCTTTGAACAATCTGTTGAGTTTTGGCAAAGTTCTAGTAGTGGCAAATATGGATGCTTAGCTATATACCACTATTAAGAAGAGAATTGTAAATTAATCACTCAACAGTAAGTTTGACTGAGAAATGATAAGTATACATAAATATAAATATAGAGAACATATGTATTACAGTTGTCTCATTTTGCTTTCCTTTTCCATTCATTTAGTGCATATTTTCTAGAGCTATTCCCCTTCGATGTAGTCAAATCAAAATACTCTTTCTCAACAGATTTTCGGCTGTCTTATACATATTCAAGCTGGAGGATATTTTAACCGAATGTGACGCAAATAATCGCAGACCATAATCAGTTTTCCAGCTCTGTGGATTATTCATGAGATAGATAGATAAGGTACGGGAAGGTATGGGAAGCACAATGCTTATGAGTTTCTCTCTCTACTTAATTGCGCATACGCCACCTTTCCACTGTCGACAATTCAATTGTAATCGCTGGACAGCAGTTGACCGAGAGCTGCCCAGCAACAGGACCACTGATTAGCATAATGTGCCTCCAGGGCGCACATGTGGACCACCCACTGTGCCAGCCAATTTGGGTGCAGCTTAAATCAAAAAGGGTCGACCACAGACTTGATACCACTGTGGCTGGTTCTTGCCAGCGCTCATCTTGATTTACGAGTGCAATGCGTTAAGCAATAAGAATAACGATAACGATAACTTAACCACATAGCCCCATAAACGTATTTTGGAGAGCTTCAAATGATTTTAAAGTGCGCTTTAATGTGCCGCCTAATTTGACTAATTAAATAATTGAATGAAATAAGTTCAAATGAGCGTATACCCGAGCCTACTGCGCTCGAAGGCTCAATGAACTTGGTCGGTGCCAATGTTTCACTGGGCATTACCAACTTGCTTGTTGCTCATACAACCCGTTGAACGACCTTGACATTAGCTCTAACAATTTGGCATAGCGCTACGAAAAGGCTCTTAGTCAAATGAAACCCCTGTCAAATTTCGAACCTTTACAGGAGTTCCGTTATGGGAAAGGCTTTGCAAGTAATACCAAAGCTTAACTACTAATCGAAGACCACAATTAGCCAAGAATGAAATTCACAAATGGCAGACGATGACCGCGTGCGTGCACCAAATAAATCGAAAACAATGCAAAAAACAAAGAAAAAAAAGGCAAAAGGCCAAAAAGAATTCAATTAAAATGAAACGTCTTTGGCAATGTCAGAGTGCCAAATGTTTTATACGTTTTGTGAAATTCAACAGAGAATTAAATGCTGTTGTTAAAAAGGCTTTTTTATGTAGGCATGCGTATAAATTGAACCTTAAGTAAAATTCAAGATTCATAAGGGCGAATTTGTTCTTAGAATTCCGCTGTAAAAATTAGTTCGATTCTTAAGGTTCAATCCACATAATTATTTAGAAAAGTATTAATGATATTAGATATGTTATAACTTTAAGTCGAGTCGAACTTACAAATGTATCTGTGACATGTGAGTTGCGAGCTTGATAAGTTAGTAATAGTATTTAAAGCATTTGACAAGCGCAAGTAATGCGCAACGGGTTGGTCGAACTGCAAAAAACTTTGAGATGACTTGGTTTGGCTTGCAATCAAACTAAATGAATTGGAAACTTGCAAAAAACTCGAGACGAGCTGCCGACAGGACTAACTATGACCACAACTTCAAAGAGAAAATAGCGCAAAAAACAACTTGAACCCAATGTGATTCTCTGCTGATGTCATGCCTCGTGACCATCAAGGAAAAAGCCGTATTCTTAAACTTCAACGTAGAGAAAACTTATACAATGGAACGCTGCAAAAGACACAGAGCACTAGTTGAAAATTGAAAATTTACAACTGACACTTAAGTGCGTGCGGCAATTATTTTGGGTGAATCTCTTGGCACGTGCTGTGTGTGTGTGTGTGTGTTTGGCTTGGTGTTGAAAAGGATATGAGTAGTCACAGCTCTAGATCCTAGGCATACTGCCATCTGTCAGCGTAATGCGGCTCTTTCAGTGTTTGCTTAGGACTTTGTTTTGATTAAGTGGCAAAAATTGTTTTACAATATTTACATAAGGATTGAGAAATTGAATGCAATGAATTTGATTTATTTGCCGTTGGCAATGGCGCGCTCTTGGGAGTTACTTTAACTTTTATGAGCCGTAAAGCGATGATAGAAACGCCTGCATACGCCCATAAAACTAAGAGTTTGCAAAGGCCTAGCGGACTCATAAAAGATTACCAATTACAACTGATAGCAAATAAAATTCTCTAGTCGGTAGAGCTCGATAGGTGATGCACACATCCAGTTCATCTTAAGGTCAGTCTTAACGTTAAAATATAAAAAAATAAGTCAAAATCGCATCAAATCAAATGTCATAGCAGATTGCAATCCCAATCTTTTGATCATCAACAGTGATCTCAATATAATCATTGCCAGCGGATGTTTTATCGGATTCCGTAAATCCGACGGCGCCCAGGTCGAGTCGCCAGAAGTTCCCCATGCGGTGCACGTGTTAAAGATGGTATTGTTTTCGCCCAACTCATGTATTGTGCCGCCCACAATGTATACCTGATTATCTCATGCTGCCCTCGGTGGTTGCCGGCTGTTGTAGCCATTAGGGATCTGCTCTGCGCTCTTGGGAAAGTAAGAATTAAACACCTCTGGCAAAACTATGAGCCGATGATTATGATTCCCAAATCATATGGCTTTCCGACTTACTATTACTTAAAAAATAACGGTTTTTTTTTTGCTTCTCAATGATTTCGTCAAACAAATAGAAAATATTTAGTAACAAGTGATAAGACAAGCATATGTTTTGTTTAAGAACATTTCTAATTTGAATTCGTTCAACATATCAGACAGCCACTAATCATACTGTTGTGAAAGAGTGGCTCAGGAGGAGATCAGCCATTTCCGCCAATAAAGATATACATATTTTCTGAATTGGCTGTTAGGGTGTTGTACAGCCTTTCTGCCCATCGCTTTCTGTAAAATACTTTTTGTACTCGATTTAAGAAAATCACAAGCATTTTGCTATTTTATTTTCGCAAATTTTCCGTTTCTTACCTCACCCAATCAACATATTTTGGCATCAGTTCAACAGTCTTTTCAACGTATTAATTTATAAATGTTGATGATATTTCGCTGGCAATCTTCTTTTTATAACCATTCATTATTTATTCATTTAGCAATATTTACCAACACTTCTTATACCTTACTCAAAATGGTTGAACTAATTTTCTTTTTACGCTAGTCTGGCAACTCTTTGTTGCCGGCAACTTTCGGGGACCGCCTTTTTGATTAAATAAATAAATAATTGTACTGAACTGAATAATTGAACTGCATTTTCGAATATATTTATAGCATATGGGAAAATCATCAAAAACATGCATCCGCTGAGTACTCAAATGCCTCACTCACGTTTCCGACCATGGAAATGGTCACATGCAATTTTTATTATTTTAAGACAACATAAATGCAATATCAATCATTTGGACTTCTTATCTGTACTGTAAAGATCAAGCCGACGCTGGCTAAACACTGGAATTTGTTGACGCACTTGCTCCACTAGAGAAAAGTCAATATTAACGGCCAAAATCTGCTCGCCTTCGCCAGCGCTACTTTGGACTTTGGCCCATGGGTCCACAATCATAGAATGACCATAGGCAACGTAATCTGCACTCGTATCCCTGGCTGGTGAAGTAGTCACCACAAAGAGCTGATTATCGTTCGCCCTCGCCCTTTGCAAAAGCTCCCAGTGCAAAGGACCTGTTGTCATATTAAAGGCTGCCGGGTATATGATCATCTCGCATCCATCGTTGCGATATAGACGCGCCATCTCCTCGAAGCGAATGTCATAGCAGATTCCAATACCAATCTTGTGACCATCAACATTGATCACAGTAAAATCGTTGCCAGCGGACAGCGTATCGGATTCTTTAAATCGGATGCCTCCCTTTACGTCAATATCAAAGAGATGCATTTTGCGGTGTTTGGCTATTAGCTCGCCAGTGGGTCCCCATACGGTGCACGTATTATAAATGGCATCGTTTTCGCCCAATTCTGGTATTGTGCCGCCCACAATGTAGATCTGATTAGCTAATGCTGCCTTCGATAGCTGCTGGCTGGTGTAGCCATTTGGAATTTGCTCGGCATGCTCCCGAAAATATTTTGTGCCATAAGGAGAATTAAAGCACTCTGGCAACGTTATAAGCCGAGGCTGATGCTCCTTAACGGCAGCTTCAATTTTGCTCACGGCATTTAGTACATTTGCGGTTTTGTCCGAGGAGCCCTTTAGCTGTAACAAAACAAGGCGCATAACTGCCAAAGTAATGTTAATATTTAAGGAATCAAATCATATGCCTTACTAAACTTACTATTACTGGCCTTGCTCATGATATTTGTTCTCGATATTCCCACAATTAACAAAGAAAAACGCCTTTGCTTGCCACTGCAATCGTCTGCCAACAAATATATGTATGTGTTGCATAAAATATACGCAAACATATGTTCTGTTGCGATCTGGCAGGGCTATTCGAGAACATCGCTAGTAGATTACCAATTTGATTTCATGTAACGAGGTGGCAACGCCACAGTTAACAGCTTTTCTTTATAACTTGTTCAACAATCATATAATCATAATATAAATATTAATTATTTAGTTTAAGTAACAATGGCCAACGATCCTAGGTGTACAGTGAAAGAAAAAAGCAGACTTCAAGTCAAACGTGATATTCATTTAGGTATATAAGCTGTGCAGTGGTGGCCAGAAAAAGTATATAAATTGAAAATCCGCTTATTTAATCGCGCTCCCGACCAACATATATACGCGATAGGCCAGCGACATTACCTATGAAATAGTGTTATTACTATTGGTTTGTAGGTAAACAAGATCACTCTAGTGTCTACCCACCTCCTTAAAAGTGTTCAGCGATATACGCATATAGCCCATGGCGCTGAGTTCAGCTGGTCTCTGGGCACGCAAGATGATATTCACTAGGGATTTCTTGTATGCCGACGTTGCATCCGACCAGTTGTTGTTATAGGCGGCATGGGAGATATTTGAGCTCTGCAGAAATCAATTGTCGTCATTCAATATTCTAACAAAAAATCAAAGTATTTTTAACAATTACAAATAATTGAACCATCTCGCCATAACAGCACACGAGATAAAGCTGTGAACTAGTCGTTATCATAAATCCAGCTAAGGTAATTCCATCTAGACTTAGTCCCTGAATCTGTGCACAAACTGCCATATTGCAGAATAGCATAGCAGTGGTAAGCAGATTTAACAAAAGTGATCCACCAAAGATGCGATTTATATCCTCCTGGAGGCTAATAATGCCAGTCAATATTATTAACAATTTGACAATTGCAGACGCCGTACTCACTTAAGTAATTGATCATGCCTGTCCACCAACTGGGAAATGAATTTGAGATCGATGGAGTCACGCGTCCAGTGAGGTTGATAATTCTCCAGAGATCTCGCAATATAATCAAGGTGCATGCATATCTGCATCTCAAAGTGCACCAGCCAGAGATCAGTGCTCAAATTGGATACAATCATTAAATCGCTGTGCAACCACTCCACTATATTAATGGCAAAGTATTTCCACAATGGATCTTGTTGCGGATCTAATGTGTAATGTGGATAGAAATGCAAATAGGGATAGTGGTTTGTCCTTATATAAATAAAAACCGACATCAGGACGGGTTGTCCTATTACCAACACTGAGGATATGCAATATACCGCAACGAATACGCGCAGTGGACGGGGCCAGTAATGATCGTTGACACTGTAATCGATCCTTGCTTGCTTGGATTCTGGATAAAGCGCCGCTAGCTTACCATTTAACCTTCGAATTGCCTGCTTTTGTAGCACAACTACATATTTGATGTTCGAGTTGATTACATAGGTAAACTGCATAGTATAGCGTGCTATCAGTAGGAAATCGTTTCCAATGTTATCCCACTCGATTAGACGTTTTAACATGGTCACCACACAGCAGACGTGGCTTACCACACACGTCCAGTGGAATAGTTGCATCAGGATGCGGCGACGGGTCATTTTTGCCTCCAGTATCTCATAGCCGCAGATATAATAGCTAAATTTCGGTAACCAAAGAAAGTCCTCGTAGCTGTATGAGTCGGTCTTCATGATACTTGTGAACTGTGAACTGTTTTTGACCAGCAGCGCCATTTATAGAAGTGCGAAAACTGAGAATTTTCTGCGGTTACGTTTGATTTTCAACGGGTGCGAGTGTGGTTAAGTTTAAGGAACAGGTAAAGAGATAATTGACTATTGTAATATATTGATTTTTTATACCCATAATTATAGAAATATTATAGTTTTATTAGATGGGTATATTTGTAAAACTAATGTTAAAAATGGTATAGAAAACGCCGTTTAAATAAGCTCGAAAAGAATTTATAGCCTACGTTTCTAAAGCTCTTTAAACTTCACTTCTTCGTCCTTGAATATACGTCTTATAGAAATAATTTTTGCTCTTTTCTCTTTAGGAAATACTAATTAAGTATTACCTCATAGAATTTTAGTAAGAAATGTTTCTTCTTCTTCTTATCAAACTGTTTATACGAACTTTGCTATCCATAATCAACTTCGCATCTTATGTTCAATTATAATGATATTTTCCCCTCGGTCGGATGGTACAGAGGTGGCTTACATTTTGCAAAGATCCTTGCACCATTTAAAGTTGCTGCCCGTTAGTTATAAACGTTCAATCGAAGTACTTCATTTTTCTGTCTTATTTTCAATTAGCTTTATATTTATAGTTCAGTTACTGCGTTTTCATAAATTTCATAATTTTTATAGTAGAAGTATTCTGGCAACATCATCATGTTCCTTAACGGCCGCTTCCATTTTGCTAACGACTCTTAGCACAATTTTTGGTTTTATTTGAAGTGCTTTTGCTGAAACAATTTTATGGCTCGACGTGTTTATGATATTTGATTTGCAGATTACAGTAATTTGAAAAGAGTTTAATTTGTTTAAATTTAAATCGAACGTCTGATAAAAAATTTGAAAATTTGAATGCACATAAGCATATGTTTTGTGCCAGTCTGGCAGGTCTACTCGAATACATCGCCAAATGTATTGCTAACGATGTGGCAACGCCACATCCGCAAACAGCTGTTACTTGTCAAGCTTGTCAAGCAGTCACATAATCGTAAATGTTTATTGTTTTGTTTAAGAATCAGCACATAATTAATCCAAAGTTTTTCTCTTCAGAAGATGGCTGGAACTAAAGTGCTCCGCTCCTTGCTACACGAATTGCGTCAGTCGGCAAAAGATCCTGGAGGCATTAAGAACTCACTGGCCGCCCGCTACATTCTGGCGCAGTACAAAAAATTCGAAACAACCGATCAGCAGTTGTGCAAGGCTCGCAACGAGGCAATCTTTCTGGGCCAAACATATTTAACCTATCTTAGCAGTTTGCGCAAATACAACGAACTCTACAAGGAGTACCATGGTCGTGGGGAACGCACGGTGAAGGAAACAGCAGACCTTGTCGGCTTCAAGCTGCCTACAGACCCGAAGTGATGTTAATTTAGCAATGTAAACTGTGCAGTGTTGGCCCATAAATATGTATAAATTGAACATCTGATTCTTATTATTGTTGGTCCAACGAAAATACAAGATAAGGCAGCGTCACCTATTATTATTATTTATAGATTGTAGTTAAGCAAATCAATCTGGTGTCCACCTACTTGCTTCAAAGTGTCCATCGATATAGGCTGAGTGTCTATATTACTGAGTTCAGCTGGTCTCTGGGCATGAAAGATGATATTCAGTGGGGGTTTCTTGTACGCTGACGGTACATCCCACCAGTTCTTAATATAGGTGGCATTGGTTAATTTTTGAGCTCTGCAGAAATTTATATAATAGCACACGAAATAAAACTGAACTAGAGGTAATCATAAATTGTCTTTTGGGTGGCTGTAACCATAAACGATTTAAGCAAGTAATAACCATGGAAAAAAACATGACTGAACATTGTAGACTAAGCAGTAACCTAACCAAACTATGTATTTATAATAGCGAACTATGCAGGTTTTGTGAAAGTGAGGAAGAATACTTATTTATGCATTTCTGCGTTTCAAGTCTTTAAAGGTTCATTGAAGTCCAAGCATTAAATTAAAATTAATTAAAGTCAATTTAGCAAGTCAATTTATGAATCGAATTTGCAAGAAGTAATTCTCAAAATACATATATTTAAAAATGTGGTTTTGTATAAACTATAAGAGATTTGTTTTTTTATTTTAAATTTAAATAAAGTGTTTTGAAACGAAATGACTTTTTATAATCAGAACTATTTTGTGAGAACAGATATATTAAATCTATTCATTTCATACTATTACTATGGATTTTACACACTTCAACTAAAGTGGCACATCCAAAAACCGGTAATTTTGGAGGTTATTTGTTAAAACTGCACATATCACAACGCAAACCAGGAGGGAAGAAATAAGTTAAGCATTTCTCTGTACTTTTTTGTAAGAAATAAATAAAAATTTAAATTAAAAATTTGTAGTTTAAAAAAGCAAAAAATGTTCACGGCATTAATTATTTGGTTGCTTGTGTTATTAAGAAATATCGTAATTTGAATTGCATTTTTCCCGAGAGAATGGCTTATGTAGGGTATGTAATGTTCGGTGTGCTTAAGTTAAACGTTCGCTCTTCTTTTATTCTTACTCTGATGCTTATTAATTTCCATAAAAGCTGTGCCTTCAACTCCCTCAGTTTGCTTGGGCATTTTTACCGTTGTTTGCCTTTTGCTGTAAGTTCTTGTCATTGTCGATGCACTTGTCCGCGTTGCCGTCATTGTTGTTTTTAATGTTGTAGTTGTTGCTGTAAATTCTTGGGCATACCAACATCAAATTGGTATTGATATTACTGGGCTCCCCCCCCCCCCCCCCCCTCATAAGGCATCATCTGCGTGGAATGCTAAGCAGCAAGGAACTGTTGGCTGCTATTTCATTTGTTTGCCATGCAACAAGTGTCGTGTGGTTGACTGTGAATGTAATTGTGCAGGTTTCATAAATAAATAAACAAACACTTACATACATCATAATTATTTATTTGACTACTTGATAGATTTTTGGCTTTTCTATTACTATTAAAAATTGTACGTTTATTTCATTCATTACATAATACACAATATTTAAATTATTCGCTATTGTTCCCAGTCCCCCAACGCACATAAAAAAGAAATTGTGCTTACGGTAAGAAAGAGTTCAAACCTCACCAGAATTTCCTCATAAAAAACTACTGTTGTGCAGTGCATTCGTAATTTCTTCATTGGTTTCAATTGAATGTGAACTTTTCGTAAGGTTCAGAAATGTGCCAATAATCAGTTTTTTTTCTTTTTTCAAGTATGCTATAGATAAATACTATTAGCACCGTCTGCAAATGTATTCAAAAAAACACTTTTAAAACTTTACCGCCACATACCAAGTGATTTATGAGATCCACCCAAAACAATAGTCGCTGCTAAAATTAGATTTTTATGTAGAACGCCGCGATTATTTTTATAAATTTACAAGTAAACTTGGGCGTAGTAGATTGAGCAAGTGCAGAATGTACTCAGTAAAATGTGATGTCTATACAAATATATGTGCAGATTAAAGTTAAACGGAGGTTTTCTAAGAAGTCCGCGAAGTCATCCCATCATAAAGTGGCGGTGTGTCTCCGGAGAGTTAAATAGTTTATGATGCTCAAGCGTATTTTGTCTGGGGCAAACACGGCGCCTTTTTACGGCGCATAGACAACCGCAAACATCCTAAACTCCACAAAAAAGCAAACAGGAACACACATTACACAAACACATTCTGCCGTCCAGAACAATGCAGAGAGTCCGACAAGGTACACTCAGAAAAAGATCGCACAGAATTTTAGAAAATCGCCACACTTTATCGCCTAGGCTATCATTATTCAGAAAGTATATTTTTTCCTTTCTTAATTCCAGGGCATATTTTTCCAAAATGTGGAAAAATTATATCTAATTTTCAGGAGGTTTTTTACAAATACATACACAGAACACAGAACTATTTTAGATAGTTTGTAATTTCATTAAATTAATTAAATACTTGCAATCTAACGCAGACAGCAGCTGAAAGAGAAAATTTTATTACTGTTTTAAAGAATTTTGTTCTTTAAATAAGGTTCTGCAATTCTACAGTTTATAAATACTTAAGAATTATATCTGAAAAAATAAAAAAATATGCTTTTCTAATTATAAGAAATACTTTTTCTGATAGCTAAAACAAATTCGAAAAACCAGATATTTTTTCTAGTTTTCTGGGTAACTTTCTGAATATCAGGGGTGTTTTTTCTGAGTGTATCGACTTATGTGGTAGTAGTTAAATGGGCAACAGGCTGCCTGTCTGCCGCAGTGGCAGTCCAATGAAATCAACGAAAATCGCAGGAGGGTTAGCCTGCATCGTGCAACAAGGCTCCATTTATTTGCCACCCACCCACAATCGATGTTGGCCGCGTATGCAATATGCATCATTGGAATGAGTGAAATGCGAATGAGCTTACAACAGACTTTCCAACATATCAGCATTATGCGCAGCTCCTTCCAAACGCACAAAGAATAACAAAGGACAATGGCCAGGTTGCTGTCCCGACCTCACTTGCCATTTATTAATGAATTTATTGGCCAACTGCATTTGATGGCCAAAATGCATATCCTAACCACATTGTCTCTGGAGGTGTGGCTATTTTGATTTTTGAAATGCAATTATTTAGCTTAGTAGTCTTGTATTTTATCTTCGGTAATTATACTCTATTCTCATTATAAATGGATTTTTATGTATGGAACTCAATAAGATCTATAGACACGAAATTACTGATACATATTTTCCACAATGTTATTTTCATACAGTATTACATCTAGATTCTTACAATATTGATAAGAAATTGCCCAGCAACGCCCAATTACGTTATCGACAATCAAATTCTCCGATTCTGATAGTTCAAAGTTAAAGTTCAAAGGAAACTGAAAACTGCTAAAAAGGAACAAAATACAAATTTGGGTGAGAAAAGGCTAAAAAGACAACACTGGCGAGTACAACTGAAGTACATTGAGCTTGCCAAGAGCTCTTTCAGTTGTTTAGAATTTGTTTATTGGGTAGCGCATAACCGGTTCTCCCGATGTCTCTCGATGCTCATTCGCCGCATCGCATAGCGACACGAGCGACTGTTTTACGGCTTGTCATCATCGTCTCTGTCGGTCGGCGCTCAGTTCGCGCTGAGCATTCGAAGAAAACGGTTCGATTCGGTTCGGTTCGGCAAGTTGAGGCTTGCCATAGTTTTGATTTGTGTGCGGCATCTGGCATCTGTTGAGAACTGGCCATGTGAGGGCGAAGCATCTTACGATACGCAACTTGTCTCCATGGTAACCGTCGCGTCCGCTCCGCATTCAACAGTTTGATAAAGCATCCATAAACGTTCTATTTATTTATGTTTATGTTGATATATAATATACATTTATATACAGATATATATAGTACATAGTGAATCGACGAAGTTTTGCGCGCTGAAATTTGTGTGTGTTTTCAAATGAGCTCATAAAACGAATGCGAAAGCAGATCTTAGTACATTATAAACATTTTGCAAGCTTATCCTAATGAATATTGCTTCTCTATATAATATTAACTTGTAACGGTGCTTTTGTGTAGACACGTTCTTCTGCTGCTGCTGTTGCGCTTCTTGTTGTTATTATTTAGCTGTAAGTGCAGATGTTCCCCATCACAGTTGAAGTTGTTGTGGCTCTGACTCTGAGTCTGGCTCTGGCTATGGCTGTTATTGTTGCTGTTACTGTCTAACCCGTTTATGTTTTAGTTGACTTGGTAACTCCAATACGTGTGTATGTGTGTGTGTGTGTATGTGTATGTTAGAGGAGTCGAGCAACACGCACAGACAAGCAAACAAACAATACATCAAACTGTTGTTCTGGCGCTGCAAGCGCACTCTTGTCATAGTGGTAGTAGTAGTATCTATCAGTATCAGCGGACCAGTATCTGTGTGTATCCGTAAGATTCCTTATTATTGACGACTGCCTCACAAGTCGACGCTTTATTTTTGTTTGCCTGCAACAGCGAGCCGGGAAAAACACGTTTACCTCTCTCTCTCTCTCTCTCTCTCTCTCTCTCTTTTTCTCTCTCTTTCTCTGCAGCGAAAAGAGTAACAACTTCAAGTAACAACGCAATTGCGGCAAAAACTCTCAAGAAAAGTTGAACTGAACCGAACCGTTTCAGCAGCCAAGAAAAAAAAATTATAATAGAAAGAATTAATATACAAATTAAGACCCAATTTTAAATGACATTTAATCGATGCAAATTTATGTCTAAAAAGCTCTAATTAAAAAAATAACAAGATATAAATATGGAATTTTCGTTGCCAGCAGCGTTTATAATGATGTCGTTAATCATCAAGAGGCGAGCTGTGTATTAAGCAAATGCCGCGGCAAGTGCAAAACAGTGTGTTAAGCATGCCAATGGCAGCTACTGCATGTGAAAGTTAATTTTGGCTGCGAGCATATCCAAATACGCACAAATACAAATACATGCAACCAACAGATATGTATCGCAGAGTGTGTGACAAAAATATTTAAGGCCCCAGTGGCAGTCAACAAAAAAAAAAAGAAAAAAAATAAAGAAAAAAATAATGCGTCGCAAAGACGCCGGAGTGCGATCAAACGGCAAAGTGTCAAAAAGAGAGTGGAAATAAGCCGCACATGCTTATGGCCATAAATATTGGCATGCAACAAGTGTTTGCCATATGTCTGTGCTTTTTTTTTCACAGTAGTAGTAGTGTGTGTGTGTATTCGTGTGTGTTGTGTTGTATTGCGTTGCGCAATTCTCTCAAGTGAAGTTTTTTTTACTGCTGTTTCATTTTTAGCCTGACCCGTGCAATATATAAGCATGCAATTGTGACTCATTGGCAAAAATACAAAAAATAAGAAGAAAAGAAAAACAACAACAATTATAAATTTCGCGAATTTTAAAAATAATACACACAGCCAAAATGGGCTTCTCATCGGCCCTGCAGGGCCGCGCCGCGCACGAGGCGCTGATCGTGCGCCAGGATGCGGAACTGCGTCTCATGGACACCATGAAGCGCTCCATCCAGATGAAGGCCAAATGCGACAAGGAGTACGCAATCGCAATGGCAGCCGTCGCTCAACAGGGACTGAAAATCGATCGGGCTGATGAAATGCAAGGTAAGTCAAGTAATTTTCTATATATTTTCTTATTTATTTATTCAAAGTGAACAGAAAAAAGTGCAAAACTTGAAAAAAAAAAAATTGGTTTTAAATAATAATAATTTAAAATTAAAATTAAGGTTAAAGATATAACTTAGAGTCTGTGGATAATCATAGTTAAAAAACCTCTAATGGGGAATACATAAATGAAAGATATGAAAATTAAATTACAATAAATTAACTCAATCAAAAGGAATGTCTAATTCAATATATATTACATTCTGTATAATATAAGAAAATTCTTGAAATTTATTTGAAATTATAATCTTCAACATTTGATGGCGCCCAGGTCGCAAAACATTTTAAAATAGATTCAAATATTTATTAAATGGAGCATTCCATTTTTGTAGTTTGCATATAGAAAATTCTAATTTTAATTGCTCGAGTTCTTCAAAAATACTGATATCTTTACTCAGAATACTCAAAATGAATTTCTACTTTTATCAAGCACATCAATTCTTGTAATGATTATTTTATACTTCAAAAAATTTCCACAAATCAAAGCGATAAGTATTCTTTTTTGTTGTACTTCAATTTAGAAGATGAGTACCTGGAAAGACAAGTCTATATGCATATACGCGTGCATGTAGCACTCATGTTTTTTTTACCTATTAACAATTCAATTTTGCTGTGTAGCTGCAGCTGATAAGCTAATTGAACGTTTAATAGTATCGCTCGTTTAATAGTAGTCGAATCTCTTATCAGTGTATTGAATCGCAAATATGTAAATTCCGATTAATTAGCCCCAAAACTTGTACAACTCAATAAAGATTGGATTTGATATATAATAATTACGGAATACTAAAAGGAAAATGTTTAGTTTTTTAATTAAAATATTCCCATCTGAATAATTGAAACTATTTATAAAATTATTTTTTTTTAATTTACACACTTCATTAATGAAATTTAATAAATTACTAATAAATGTTAACTATTTATTAGATATTTATATAGATAATCTATTTAATTGAACGAAAAAAATGATTGTAATTAGAATTGTTTTGATGAAGATTCGATGACATTCAGTCATACACCATTTGTTGGGTGTTGGAAAGCATTTGAAGTCGATAAGATTGTCGAATAATTGCATAGTTAATTTATAAATTGCGCAATTTATCAGAACCTCAGATATTCTTATGATGTGTTTCATTTGTTGTAAGCAGATGTTTATAGCATTCTTCGTCAAATGCAGACGCAAATGTGGCAATTTTTTTTTTCCAAGCCACAGCACTCTTCTATGTCATACTTAAACGTTTTGGAATTTACGCTGAGCTGTCTGGCCGCAGATTGTTGTGCATTACTCACGTGTGTGGGGTCCGGATTTAAGCCGGACCCGGCTGTTGCACAGACGAACGGACAGACAGCCAATCGCCATTAGTCACAAGAGTCGGCTGTCGATAAGCCCGCAAGTGATGCGCCAAAAAGCTTTCACTTTCTCTGGCTGCCGGCCAGTGGTTGGGGCAGGGGCAGGGGCACGGACTCGGGTTAGGGACTAGGGGAATATTCACTGACCATCATTGCGACGCCGACTGGTCACTCAACTCGATTCCAAGTTGCAAGCTCAAAGTGCGCGACATTTAATGGGATATAAATGATTGTTGATATTGCTGTTCAAATTGCTGTTGTTGTTGTTGTTGTTGTTGCTGCTGCTTCCACTTTTGTTTGGTGTGAATTTGACAGCTTGCAGCTAATGTTCATTGTATTTAAGCAGATGCCACCCTCACAATCGCGTGACTTGATCGCATTTCAATTTCAAACTATAAAAAGACGTGTAAAATATATTTCAGATGGTTTTAGATAATGGCCAGACGAGCACATTATTTTAAATTGCCTGCCTGTGTGGCATGGCCAGGACCCGAAGAGACTACACTCAAAAAAATAATACATAAATATATATATATATATATATATATATATATATATATTTATATACATATATATATTTAATATATGAATTATATGATATGTAATTTAGATGAAGTTAATAGACATGCGCAGTTTTCTTTTTCACTAGAAGGACACGGAAGAAGGCAAGCCTGTTTTGTGATCCAAATTGGTCGATCTTGGTTCGTATTTTCGTCTTCTTTAGTGCGATTAATGTTACTAGACTATTGGCAAGGATGGCGATATATCAAGTTTATTATAATCTTGCCTTATGCTAATATTATATTCAATAAAATGTTTCTTAAAATCTGTGGATTTGAGCCCACTGGAAATAAAATCAAATAAAAATTAAAAATAATTAATAACTGACTCTAGTAAACAAATACTGAATTATAAACTGTGAAATTATCAACTTTTCAAAATGGGCTTTAAATAAATAATAAATCTGAATATCTTACTTAAAAATAACACATTTTATTATTCTGATTATTATTTATTGATACACTTAAAATATATTTATCGTATTTAAAAAATTAAATATAAATAAATACTAGAATTTTAAAAATTTTATATTCCATATTTAGATATGTTGGAATTTATAAATTCCATATATTTTTTTTTTTGAGTGGATAAATAAATAATAGAATATGTAATTTATAATTTTCGTATAGATTTTTTTTTAGTACATAGACACACAAATGTGTGTATCTATTATTATGTGCACATGCTATGTTTATACGTTTGTATCTCAAAGATGCAGCCTCAAAGCTTGCCAACTAAGCTCATCAAACTGTCGACAGAGTGCAGCTGCTTTTACTCTGGCTCCTTTCGACATGCACCTACAAACCTACAAACAAACATACAAAAATGGATACTCGTATATTCTCGTAAATAAATAATTGCCATAATTTTCCGTGTCAGTTTGGCTTGCCAAACGGTTTTCGGTTGCGGCTGCTCTCCTTGCTACTGGACCGGCTGGGTGCGAATGCAAAAAGAAAAAAACCAAAACAACACGAAAGCCATATTATTTAGTGCACTTTATCTGTTTGTCTGTTTGATAGTGCCACAAACTGCTGCTGCCTGTAAATTGTTTTATTTTTATATTTATTTGCCGTTTTCAGCCACTTTAGCTACGTTTTTGTTGGCCTGCTTAAAGTTGCTTTTCACCTTGACCATGAACTTGCAGCCCGATTTGAATCCGGCCGCCGTGATAATTAGACCGAGAAAAGTCAAGCAGCAACAACGAAACAATATAGCAAATTTGTAGTTTAACTGAAAACTTAACGAAGCACATCATATTGACGCTCTCGACAAGTAATTTGTTTTAATTTTGTTTATAATTAGCCGAGTTTTGCTTCACTATTACCGGATTATATAATGCTTTAATAATATATCAAAGCGTAATATTCACAACAATAATAATAACAATAACAAAACTGGCTCCTATGCAATTTTTGCCTGGCACGCTCAAAATGATTCATTTAAGTCAGTTTTTGATTTTTACTCAGCTACCAAATGAGCTGATTAGAATATGTCATTGGATCTGTTATGAATCACAAGACAAAAATAAGCAAATTCTGATTACACCAAAAAAATGTTTTCTGTATTTACTTATTTAAATTATTTTTTATTTGCTTGACTCATTTTAGGCAGTCTTATCACTAAATCCTGGCGATCATATATGGACGAGTTGGATCAACAGGCCAAACAGTTCAAGTTTAATGCCGAGCAGCTCGAGGTTATCTGCGACAAGCTGGCCCATCTCTCACAGGACAAACGGAAGGCACGCAAGGCCTACCAGGAGGAGCATGCCAAAATTGCAGCACGCCTCAATCATGTAAGTAGCTCTAAAGAACCATTTATTTTATTTTTTTTCTTTAAGTTATGATATAATCCACAATATAAAATACGTGTTATAAACATCATGTGAGCTAATTATCTCTCCGGGCTTATTCGAAGTAAAATATAAACTTTGCAACTCAACATATCAATTTATTTTTCTTGGAAGCTTTGTCCAATTTATCAAATTTTATGTTTCTTAAAACTTGAATTTAATTTATTCCCAGAGATTATTATCGATTATCGGAATATAAATAAATACCCAATAGAAAGCTTGAAGTCGTCGTAAATATAAGGTCTTAGAATCTATAATTTATTGTAATTAAAAAAACGAGTGAACTGCATTAAATTATTTAATTAAATGTACATATATAATTTTTTTCTTTTGAAATATGCCATTGAGTTAAACGGAAACAAATTAAAAATTTAAAAAGACAATACTTATACACGTAACTTGTACGCCAATTAATTTAAAGACAAATCCAAATCACTGAACGAACTGATGCGCACTTGTCTGTTGCCGCTTATTTGATTCTTTTTCATTTGTCAGCTTATTGATGTTGATTTTTATTGTGTTGGTCATTCCTTTGAAAAGCTACAATCAAAATAAACATAATAGGCTTGTATATAATATATACAAGTGTGTATATAAATATCTATAAAGATATATATATATTCACAATTTCTATATATATATATATATATATATATTGATAAGCGTCAAACGAGGCAGACAACAAGCTGTTGATATGTAAGCAGCTTAAGCGACTGTAGCAGTCATTGTGCTAGAGTGAGAAATGGTCCGGGCGAGCGAGAAAGAGAGAGATAGAAAGAGAGAGAGAGAGAGAGCACGCCAAATGCTTTTGTTATGCTATATAGAATAAAGTGAATAACAAGAAATGTTGATTTATGATCATTGCGACAACAAGTTTATTAACCCAACGTGACTACTACAAAGACGTCAGGTCAACTATTACAGTAGCCATAGAAATTAACATATATGTATTTATCTTGTGTCTGTTTATAGCCCATGGACAAATGTTGCCAAATATGGCCGCTTAAATTTCCACGCCGATGGCCCAGTAAAATTATTTATTATTTTTCGCCACGCTGCAAATATTTATTTGAAACGGTTTAATGCCTTCCCGACGCCTTGATCAAATGCAAACAAATTTCCATTTGCCATAATTTTGAATGCCGGCATGTTGTATTATATGGCATCAAATTATATTTGCATTGCACTAAATGCATATGAGAAAACCAAATAATGTTACTACGCAGTATGAAATTGAACAAGTACTATATAAAAGCCCAGTGAAAATCGGTACAACAGTTTGTTCTGACTGATAGGTAATTGGTATAGCTTTTTTTTCCAGTGAACACAAGCTCATTTTCAACACTAATTTTCTTTCGGAAATTCACACACGTGTGTAGTATATTGAGTGGAAATTAAACTTACTCCGCGCGACAAGAAAATAGGTGAAATACTGATACGTCAAACAAATAGAAAACATTTTGTATTGACAAAGAGGGGAAGTCGTTATAATTACAGAAAAAGCATCAACACTGCACAAACCGTTGTTACAAATTGTAACTTACAACATTTCCTCCCAACTTGATAGAAAGAAATTAAAATAAACTCAGTCAATTGACAATTTAGCGAAGAAGCAATAAAAGTTACGAAACGACTGCCAGCAGCCACAAAAAGTAAAGCAAATTTTCAAGCGAAATTCCGGGCAAGAAGTCAAGTAAAAGATGATTTTTTGTTCAGACAGCAAGTTTCCTCCACTCAGCTTCGGTTTTTTTTTGCTCCATTGGACTTTGACTTGGAATATTTGCGCAATGCATTGAGCACATCAATAACAAAAACTACAACTTTAATTATTGTACAAACAAACAGAGGGGTAATTGTTGCGGCTGTAATATTAATAAGTCGCTTGAAATGGGAACGAGTTCGGTGCCAGAGCATTTGGCTTCCAAATATCTCCCTCTCCCTGCATATCTCACATTTTCCAATTGAGCAACCAATCCATTAAATGCCAGATCAAAGAGTAAAAATTAAAAATATTAACGAACGAAGCGCCTTTGTGTCAGTAAATAAGGATAATTCTCAGAGAATACAATTAATTATTGTCCTTACTTAAGCTAAACAACAAATAACTGCTTTTTCTGACTGATTGAGTGACCGAACGTGTCAGAAAATAAGAATAATTCTCGGAGAATATTATAACATTCTCATCATTATTTAATCTTTAAAAAAATAGATTTCTGACAGTTTGACTGACTGATAAATTATATTAGTACGTAAGAGAGCATTAAGACAAATTCGATTTTTAAAAATTCATTCGCCAAGCCAGGAAAATAGAAAGCTTGTGAAAATATTATTTATATTTGTTTTCTAATATTTTTTATTTATTTTTTATCCGCTTGTCTCTGTGCTCATTATTAAAGATCTATTTGACAAATTATGAAAGAACTATTGTCTGTGAATTGTCTTGCTTTGTGAAAATTACATTTTAAATTGAGTAAAACACATATCTATCTTTTTTTTTAATCATTTCTCGTATAAATAGCAGCATGTTAATAAATAAAGCTTAGGTTTTGGGTTTTTGTAACCAATACACCATCAAATTGATTAGATAGTGAAAGAATTTAATTTATATGTCTCATATACAGTCAAAAACTATTTTCCCCGCTTAAGCACTCTAAAGATAAAAGTAAGAGTCACATAATGAACGAGCTACGTCTTACCTAAAAAAAAACATAGTTTATGAGCCGTGTTTTACTATAAAAATATTTTTATTAGCTTTTCCTGCTATACGAGTTGAAGAACTTAAAAAAAAAAATGCTATAGAAATAAAACGAAAATACTTAGAGAAAGATTAGTTAAAATGAACTATTTAGCACTGAGGGCTGTCAACCCTCTTGCCGAAAGTGGCACTTATCAAAGTGCATTGACAAATGCTTGACAAAACATTAGCCCAACTGCCTCTGACTCGGTTATTAATCGACAACACTTTGGCGGCGCCAACAACAGCAGCCGCCCACACACACACACACACACACACACACACACACTGACACACATTTAGCTAACGGATATGAAATTGGTTGAATGTATCTTGTTTCTTTTGGTTTGTCAAATACTCGGGGCGAGTGTATCTCACAGTTCGGAACAAAACGAGTGAATCGAACCAAATGAAAACCAAAACGTATTACAGCGGTCTACATAGACGACAAACTGGGATTTGACTTCCGGGTGGGTTTCCACCGACTTTGCACACACACACACACACATATATTCTTTGCTGGGGCTTCACATTTTTTTATTGATAGACCGCAGAAAGCAAACAATGTTCTTATACTGACAGCATTGAGGCGTTGCGCACTCATATTAATTACAATAGTTTCAATTCAAATATCTTTATAAAAAAAACACACATACACTCGGAAAAAACCCGTGGCGAGTGTGCATATGTATGTATGTCTGTATATACATATGTATGTGTATGCAACAGCATCAGCAGCAGTGCGCCTTTGGTATGCCAGATAAGACGATAAGATATGGCGAGTGGGTAAACAACAACAACACAGCACAATCATAACAACAATAACCACTTCAGTTGGACGTGCGAATGCAGCAAAGCCATATAATTATATGTATATATCTACAACTGGTCCCAGTCGGCTGGCCACTTAAAGATACATAGAAACAAGTACACATCTACTTTAAGCGAATTATGGCAAAATAGAGCACTATTGAGTCAAGCAGACTTGATTAAAATTCTATATACAAGTTGACTTGTATACAACTCAAGGCAGTCACATTCTTATACGGGGGATACCAAAACGAGGGTTGCTGCCCTTCTATGAATATACAAAAATAATATAAAATGAAAGCTCCCCTATTAGCAGCCGACAAAGCGACTCTTCCCCTCTCCGTCGACACTTAAGCACGAATGCACAAAAAACCCTCAACAAAACATTTAATTGAGCTGCATTGACCCCTACTCAAAGTTCTCTTAACCATAATTGGCAGCCAGCCTGATATTTATAGCTTTATTACTTAAAGTATGTATGGTGAGTACATTTATATATACTCGATCAGGACGACAAGATACTTGGATGCATCTGTGCTTCTATTTGTAAGCAAGCTTTAATGTGAATTGAAAAGTTGTTGCTACACTCAGAACATAAATCTGAAGGTTGTATTTTTCAATTTTTCTACAATTTTGACAAAAATTTGTCCAATTTCCCAAATGTTTTTTATATGTTTAGCTTTTCGTTTAGATAGTTCACAGGATTTTTTTTTTTTAATATTAGGAAATTATTTCTAAAAACCAGAAAATCTTTGCAATTTTTCGGCAAGATTTTTTTGTGGTCAACTGGAAAGCTGCTGCTAACTATTTGCTAATTTTATTCCAATCAAGTGTATTAAATTTAAGCAAATGTGATTATATCACTAATATAGATTCTTTTCACATAATTTCGTCGCTTTTTCTTTAAATGACTGAACTACACTGCTTACAAAAGGAATTCAGTTACTTATAGTGATTTTAAATTATTGTGTGGCACGCTTAAGCAGGGCTGGAAAAGTTTCTTGACATTGCGACAAAAACGGCATGGATTGCAACATCAAAATGAACAGCAATAGCAACAGCAACAGCAACAGTCACAAAATAAGGGGCACATACTGTTGCTTGAGCACACCAACTCATAGATACTTTTGTATCTGTTTTCTTCAGTTAGTCACTGCCATAAGTTTCATACATGCAGAGCCAGTGATTTTATCTGTATGGCGGCTGCAGCTGCCAACTCGCAACGAGTGGCACACAGCATAAAAATTAGAGCTGATATTTGTTGACAACAAACATGTGGCCATGTTGCTCTTGTTGTTGTTGCTGCTGCTGCTGTTATTGGCTGCGATGTTGTTGCTGTTCTTGTCGTTGCAAACGTCGTGCAAAGATTGTTTGTTGGGTCGCGTGCGGCAACATAACA